AAGAAGAAGAAGAAGAAGAGGAAGAGAAGAGGACAAGCAGAAGATAGTGTACGCAAGGATAAAAAACAAAACTCCCAACAGAAGGGATAGGACCGAGAAGAGGAAGGAGGAGAAAAAAGAAGAAGAAGAAGAAGAGGAAGAGAAGAGAACAAGCAGAAGATAGTGTATGCAAGGATAAAAAACAAAACTCCCAAACGCGACTGTTGTAGAAAAAATTGTTGACGCACTGACGGCATGGACCCGGCTAGTTTCGGCCGGCCACCACCAGAACTCCTCTCGAAGAAAGGCCTAGCTCAGTTGGTACACCGAAGAAATGTTTAAATAGAGACCTGAGTTTGAATTCCGATGCAACCGGGGAGTGAAAATAACTCGGAATTAAGCTAGGGCTGGTCAGTTGATATTGCAAGCCTGTCGCCCTTTTCAGAAAAAAAAAAAAAAAAAAAAAAAAAAAAAAAGTAATAAACATGTAGATGAACAGAAAAGAATCCCATGCAAGCACAATTCCGATCCTGATCACTTCATCCACTAAGGCGGAGAGCTGCCCGGTAGATGGGAAGGGGGAGGGTCAGCCAGATTGTTCTCTGAATGCAATAGAGCTTGCGTCTGCACACTCGCATACTGTTCCTGATTGACGACATCAGTCGATTGTGTGCAGATAAGCTTGTATGTACACACGTGTATGGGTAGATGTCGATGCGTTCGTGATTGTGTGCGTCCACAAACGTATTGTAAAGGATCACCCCACCTCAACCTCTATTCCATCCAAAAGAATTTCAAAGCATTATAAATGCAAGGTAATGCATCTGCTTAACATGAACCTGCACCATAAATATCTGTTTGGCAAGCCCATGTGTTTGTCTGTGAATGTGCTCATGTGTGTCTGTTTGTGCTGTGTTGGTGTTTAGAACCCTGTATCTCACAACCGACACAGACGGCACTGGGCTAGGTTGTGCTGGGTCTGTGCACTGACCCAGCACAACCGACACAGACGGCACTGGGCTAGTTACAAAGCCCTGGTGGCACAAGGTCTGTCCATTTCAGCCATACCGACCCAAACGAGTATCAAGCCGTACTGCTGACAGCATGCGATGTGTTGGGAGTGCCTCATACCGCTGTCAAACCAATACACCACACACGGCAGGCATTTTGCCTTTCACAGGGCCTCAGGCCGTCCGCGTCGCCCTACCCAACCCGCACACCCTATAGGGCCTGGGTATTACGTAAAGAGCATTTGCAGAGGACCGCAGGCTACCAGTCCAGAGAAACGTTGTGCCCAAGCGCGTGCTTTTCAGTTCAGACCAGTCCACGATGGAATCCTTTTAGCAAAGATGGAATAGTTGTGGATTTTGCATGCAGTCATCAACATTTCTGATTGGCAGCCAATCATACAACTTTCTGATTGGCAGTCAACGCAAATCCCAAGTGTAGTATCCGTTCTGATGATCTGATCAGCTTATATATCCAATCTGTTACCGAAACAAAACAAAAAACATAGGTGTGCAAGGATCCAACAACAACCCGGAAGGAAACTTTACGACATTCCCAATTTCTATTTTCCTTTCGAACTAAGCTATATCTTCTTCTCTCAATTTTTTCCACCTCACACCCACTACCTGCATACCTCGCGCTATCTACCCACGTATCTAGGACCAGAACACGTCTATGTACCGAAGGAAAGGCGAGCTACGTCTAATAGTCTATCTACTCTACTTTGTGCACGGAGTAGTACCCCCAGCGCATGTCTAATAGTCTAATAGTCTATCTACTCTACTCGGTGCAGGGAGTATGTACCTACTCTGTGGGAATGCTCAGAAGAGAATAGCAATGCCCAAGGGAAGACAGTAGCAATGCCCAAGAGAGAGGGGACCACCCACCCCTCCCAAAGCGCTGTTTCTGACAAAGGAGTACCAGTAGGGTTCTCAGGGAGTATAGCACTGTATGCAGACTAACCTTCCCAGCTGAACTTGCATATTGGGAGGTAGATTCATTGCCAACAGTCCTGGTGTATGAGCACTGGCAGGGAAAGAAAAGAAATGCCCCAGAGAGGGGACCCTTCGTCCAAAAGAGCCATTTCTCACAAAGTCCTTCGGGTTCTTAGGGTGTACACATGTTAACTTTTCCGGTGGAACCTAGACGTCATAAAGGGTAGATTCATGTATAACAGTCTTGGCGTGAGCACGTTCAGGAGAGAGAAGCAATGCCCAAGAGAGCGCCCCGCTCCTCCTGAAGGGCTGTTCCTCAAAAAGGACCGTATCTCACATAGGGCTGTTTCTCTCGGAAGGCTGTTTCTCACGGCCCTCTGGCATTCGATACAACGAGAAAGAACACAGAGAAAAGAACAAAAGGCGCCGGGCTCCACGTGGTCTCGATTTTTGCTTCCGTGAATCCGGGAATGCGGCTGTTCCCAACTTCGCACACCATAGATCCGTAGTGAAACCTCACAAAGGCCCGTTTCTCACATAAGCTGTTTCTCCCGGGGGGGAAGGAGGGGGGGAAGGAGGGGGGGAAGGAAGGGGGGGGGGAAGAACTCACACATTGTTCTACTTTTCTACCTGTCTCTTATACACATCTAGATGTGTATAAGAGACAGGGGGGGGGGAACGGGGGGTTCCCACCAAGGACATATGTCCTAGAGGGCTGTACCTAACGGCCCTCTCACGATTAATATAATGAGAAAGAACAGAGAGAAAAGAAGAAAGAAAGCAGGAGTCAGTGTGCTTCTGTACTCTTTATAAAGTGTAAGCCAGGTCTCGCACGACGCTCCCGCAAGGCCCAGCTGCCAGTGTTGGGAAAACTGCCGTTCCCTGTTGGGCCCATGGCGCTTTGTCCCCCGAATCCCCTGGCACGTGACGAGTCTGCCGCCCCACATTCGAGATTCGAATACAAGTAAATAGCGGCTGTGCTTTAAAAACCGGCAAAAGACGCACCAGATTTTCACAGGCGTGAGATCGAATCGAGGTAGAAAACAGCGTTTCCATTTCTTTTTGGTCACTGTCGGGGCCGCTACGCTGGCAGCTTTTTGTCGTCTTCTGTTCTTTTTTTTTTGTGTGGTCGTTGTGAGGGTCGCTGTGCTGGCAGTGTGTTTTTTGTCTTTTTGTGTGTTGTGGCATGAAGGGCCACGCGGCATTCGGGGATGACAGCGCCTCATATTCGAATACGAGTCCATAGGGCGCATGTCGTTTCTTTTTTTTTGGTTCTGACCTTTTGCAGTGTGCGGCCATCCATTCTCTTCTTTTTTAAAGCTGTTCGTTCGTTTAGGTTATGACCTGCAGCGAGGTCCAGATACGTGCGTTTTGTGTGTTTATGTTTCATTTTTCGCATTTTCACCTTTTCAGGGAACTCTACCTATTGGGCCTCACTCCACTACTGTCGACATGTGCAAAAAGAGAGTGAATCTTCTGTTAGAACATGGAAAGATGCACCGCCATTATTTGTCTTTTGTGCATGTGGAGACGAGTGGAGCGAGGCCCATTGAGCTGTCTCCTGTTTGGTGCTTGTCAGGAAAAGACCAAAAAACAAAATCGGTGGTGTATATCGTTCTTTGTTCTAGAGGAGGATTCGTTCTCATGTTCCACATGTGGCGAGTTGCAGTGCCAGAGCCCGGATCCACGACTTCCCATATGCACAAAAGACAAAAAAAAAAAAAAAATGCCGGTGTATCTTTCCATGTTCCGGAGGAGGATTCCTTCTCATTCATGTTGGACATTCGGGGAGTAGATGGATCAGGGCCTCGCTTCACGACTCTCCATGTCCAACATGAGAACAAACCTCCTCCGGAATACGGAAAGATTCACCCTGCCCAGGTAAGCACGGCCCCGGATAATTCAGAATTTTAGTACTGTACTCATCTGCTTCCAGACGAGTTCAAACTCAGGTCTGTATTTTAATGGTTTTGGGGCGGACCAACTGAGCTTAGCAGTTCTTTTTTTTTTTTTTTTTTTTTGCAAACCAAGGTGTAGCGGTTTTCTTTTGGCTGTCTGGGGTCATTATACCATCTGCACCACGTGACATGGCCCTCAGGTCTGTTAAACTGTCTGGGGTCAATGTACCACCCGCCTCCGCGTGACATGTCCCTCCATGTTTCATCTCATCCCCGCCTCTGGGCCGTGGCTGGTCCGACTTGTTAATATGACGAGGAAGAACAGCAAGAAAAGAAGAAGACACACCAGAGTCAGTGTGGCATCAATTTTTCTTTCCGTGAATTGGGGAATGTCGATGCTCCCAAATTTTGCACGCAGTACATCTGTAGCAAAAAATTCAAAGCTTATCAGGCATCAGGAGTCGGATGACAGTAGGCTTCGGCTAGAGACACAGCTACCACACAGCATTGCAGCCAAGCGTACCAACTTCAATGCACAGCCATGGACAATGATGTCTCCCTGAGCCTTGCCAAGCGGTCTAGATAGGTGCACAGGAAGCTGTCTGACAAGCTGATCAGATAGCTAAAGGCTGGAAAACCCCCAAAACACCACTGCCTCATGTAATATCCAGCCAGCTCCTGCAGACAGGAAAAGATACGTGGCCATTGGATCCTTAAATCTAAACGACCAACTGAAAAAAGGGGGGGTCTCCTGAAAACCAGGGTAGTCGAATAAGTAGTGGAGGTTTAACCGTTTAAGGATTTTTTCTTTTCTTTTTTTTTTTTTTTTTTTTTTTTGGGGGGGGGGGTTTGGGGGGGGGGGGGGCAACATCGGTGGCGAGTCTGGCGGCTGTGGTGGGAGGTTTAAAGTACCAGTACACCACACATTGGCCTGCGGGTGGGTCAGCATGAAACCCGCACCACTTCGGAGGCTGCCGATTTTTTTTGCCGCCGGTGCCCCACCAAGTTTTGCTTGTGCCGACAAAAACTTTCTGCAAGGCTGGGGCCGTGTACTTGCGGTTTAAGGATCTTAATAATCCAGCAGAGACTCAAAGAGACAGATTTCGGCAGGTAAGGATGGCATGTCTGTCAGCCAACAAGAGGAATAACTAGTCAGCTGGGGACTGTTCTAGGCACATACCTTCGGCGGCACTCCTTCACCCTCAGCCACTTGAAAAGGAATCTCAACGCCAAACTCTTGCCTCAAGGTCTCTGTTCCGTCCGGCGACCTTATCACCTGCGGAGGCAATTGGTCACAACACAACCACACATTTACGAGTGAGGGCACATACACTCTCCTCTCTGCTCAATGGATTGCTCGTACTCTTGACAGCGACAAATAGGCCGAGATTCTTTTTTTTTTTTTTTTTTTTTTTTTTTTTTTTTTTTTTTTTTTTTGGGGGGGCCGAGATTCTATTCATGCAAAGTTGTGTAAGTTCTGCTGCTCACACAATAGGGTCTTCCCAGGCAATCCTGGCCGATTTCATCTGTTGTTGGTCATTCACATAAGAGGCCTTAGAGGGAGGTTTGTTTGTTTGTTTGTTTGTTTGCTTGTTTCTAAAAAACAGAGGCCTTGGAGGGAGGATTAGGATTTTAACCGTAACACTAGGCGAAAGTTTCTTGCACTCCTCTTCTTCCACCAGCATAAGCTGAAAAAGCCAAAGCAACAACAAAAAATAGTTGGGGATTCAGGGCTCACTATCATTCTATCTTGGAGGCAGGATTTCTGCAGTAGCAGTTGGCAATAGTTTTTTACAATTCTTCTTCCACCAGCATAGATTTGAATTTTGAAGGGAAAAGTGTGAGGAATGTGTCCTCATGGGCCCCTAGCCAACATGCATATGTTCTGGACTGTGGCCACAAACAAGCCTCGTGCCCGCCCTAAGTGAAGGCGGGCCTGAATATCCACGAGAGGCCCTTATCTCAGCATTTTCTAATGTGGGTATCAGACAGTTCCAGCACGCCAGTTGGTTGAAGAGCAACCTGGGCCTCTCCCTGGCTCCTTCCAGAAGCAGCAGGTGCGACAGGCAGTTGATCCCAGGACCCAGCTAGTTGCGCCCTGGGTACACGCAGTGTGAGGCCGACACATCACGAAGTGGCCGCGGGCCAATGAGAATGCAGCATTGCCGTCACAACTACCCCGCGGGCCAATGCAAACACGGCAAATACTTGGAGCCTGGAGGCAACCTGAAAGTGCCCAACCAAAAAAGTCCCAGGCCCTTGCCTGGAGGAATAGGCCTGGGCAGTGGGCGCAGACACTGGGGCCCGACCAGAAGCTACAGAAAACTTCCTCGGCCAGGCCCAGGAAGCCCAGAAGGGCAGCTACTCCCATATAGGGGGGAGGCCAGCAAGAGGCTGGCATTCTGGCCTAGGCAGGCAATGCAGACAAGTGTCTGCGTTGGCGCTGCTGGCCGGGCCACATGCGGGCGCTAAGAGGTGAAGAGGGGCGCTGCAGGGCAGCGGGGCGCTCAGCGGACATAGTCGGGCTGCAGGGGCGCGGGCAGGTGATGGGTGACAGTAGTCTTCAGGGAAGGAGGCGCATGAGTGGACAGCCAAGGTCTGACGAAGGGAGAAGAGAGAACGTACCTGGTGTATGTGGAGGTCGGCATTGGTGTTCACGTCATGTATATTGGTCTTCGATGGCAAAGTGATCCTGTTGCACGAATGTAGATAGGATAGATAGGCTGAGTAAAGTAGGCTGGACGCTGGGCGCCATACAATAGGAGCGACATTGGATACTGCGTTGGTGTGGCCTGAGGGCTTGGACATTGGCTCACGAGTCCATTGAATTGCGCCTGTGTATGGAATCTTGGTGCATATGCTTTCTGCTTGGTACATGACTATCTGGACTTCTGCGTGATTTTGCAACTTGGTTTTCTGCCCATCGCTCTTGCTCATATTCCTTGCAAAAGCAACAACTGAAGAAAAAAACAATCCTTTGATTCCTTTCCTTAAAAAGGCGAGTTAACCAGCACCTATGTCCCCAGACAGTTGTCAGGGGCATCATGCATCTGTAGATTCTGTACTCAATGAGATACTAACTGAACCCGGTTTACAGCAGTTGCCCCTCCCCACCAACTGACTGGAGCAACGTTTCAAGAGAAGAAGAAAGAGCTGAGAGCTACAGTGAGATCCTCCTTTTTTTTTTTTTTTTGACAGAGTAATCACGCCAATGGTCGGCACCCCTGGATTGGTCGGCGGCCGACCAGCCAGCCGTTCCACTGGTTGGCACCTACCAGTCCGCAGTCGGTCGGCACCCCGTCCAAAAAATAAAAAAATAAAAAATTAAAAGAAGAAAAAATGGGGGCAGTCCAGAACCCCCAATAACCCTACCAACACCCCCATACCCCCCCAACAACCCCATACCACCCCCCAACACCCTCATAGCCACCCCCTACCTCCCTATAACCCCAATAACCCCCCTATGCCTCCCCGTATGCCCCCTTCATAACCCCCCACACCCACCGATCCCCAAAAGTTTCTCAGAGGATTTGGGCTGTACTCAGCAAACGCGGTACAGCCGTGAACTAGATTTGAAAAAAAATCAGCAGATGGCCCTCTACAGACTGGTCGGCAGACCGCCTACCGGTCAGCACTCCTGGTAGGCTGGAAAACGGTCGGTCGTAGGCGGGTATGCAACCCTGCTTTTTAATAAAAAGCTGTCTTCTCGTCATATATGGGGGACAGCTGTATTTTTTGCTACACTATTTTCCTCTCTCAGGACAAGGAGCCACCCTTACATCTATCCATGCTACTCAAGGTAGGGAGTAGTACCCAGGCTCTCTCTAACCCCCATCCTCCTTATGCTGTTGGCTATTCAACTCAACTCAAGTCTTTGCATACAGGCATAATAAATCCCCTTAGCACTGCAACCTCCCCTCTGCATCTATTTTTGCTTCCCAGCTGCAGTCCTGACTGCTAAGCAACTGTACCGTTTTAATGAGGTCGAGGCTTGGTGAAGAGAACGGGGAAGAAAGATGCAGTAGATCTAAAGCAGGATGAGCACATAAGCAAATTGGACTCGAGGCTCGAGCACAGGAAGTGACGATTACCATAGGCTTGGCGACTGCATCGGCTCTTTCTTTTCCAAAGAGGCGCTCCACTATTGCAAGGGCGTACTCCATAGCGGTTCCTGGCCCGCGGCTCGTAATACAGTATCCATCGGCAACAACACGGCACTCTGCAGAAGATGTGTCTTCCAGTTTGTCAACAAAGTTGGGATGAGCAGTAGCCTGCACACGGGAGCAATCCACAGCCACAAAAGAAAAAAGGGACAACACCTTAATACCTTCACTCCTCCGCTTAAAGAGTAACAAGAACGCAGAGGACTTGCATCCAAGCCTACTCGAAAATACAGGCAGGGGCATGCATGCAAAAGCTCAAGCGGAGAAGTGAGGGTATGCTAACCGGGCAGGGGCATCCGTGCAAAACCAGAGTTACCAGAATGCAGAGGATTCACATCCAAGCATACTTGAAAATGCAGACAGGGGCATGCATGCAAAACTTAAGCGGAGAAGC